TCAATCAAGATCGAATGATTGCAACTTGGAAGAAATGTAAGAAGTAAACGAAACTGCTAGAATTATTAAGGAGTCCGAAAAAGATCTTGAGTAAAATAAAATCCGCGGACAACTCGGACTACCTTGCTTTAGTAGCGAAGTAATCCGCATTGCTCACGCTGAGTAAAAATGACTGGCTCCAATCATGTTGATGTTATTCGATCCAAAGAGTTGCGCTCGATGTTTCGACAATTAGGTTGCAGGAAAACTGACTAATATGGAAAAAGAAAAAAGAATCTAGCGACTTACTCACTGACCATCCATCATTTGATTTTGCCACGGGACCGATACCCTGTCCTTCATTTTTGGACGCCTCAGCCTGCTGCTTCTTGTCAGGAATGTCAAACAAATCATCAAACTCATCAGAACTATTTGCTAAACATGAATAGCTAGCAAAAAGAACTTCAAAATCTGGTCAGATGTAGTCTAACGAAACTGCTGGCAGAAAGCTAACCTTTCAAAGGAGTGTTAAACAAATCGGGACTTGCGTTCTTTTTCTCAGGGCAGATGCTTGGTTTCGATGGTGTACTCTCATCCTTCACATGCTTCTAAAATGAAACTGCGTACTGGAAGCCAATTCATTGGCATCAAAGCCTTATACAAAAGAACAGAAGAGTGAGTAAATAATCTATGAAGCGCTCACATTCGTTTTAAGGTTGGAGTTATGCTTCACAGGTGTAGAAATTCCAATGCTGACATTTTTGGGGACCTTGGACGATCCCTGGGTGCTGTCAAAAGCTGGATCCTAGAGAGCATTGAATCAAATCGAAAGGATAAATCAATGAACTAACATTCATCTTGTTTCGTTGAGATCTTCGAAGTGTGGGACCTGGTGAAAAGGGCGTACTAGCACACAACGGAGGCTCCTCTACCATGGGTAAAATATCCATGGAAGGAAAACATACCTAGAAAAAGCATGATACAAAGCGAAGACAGAAACGCCTCAACTCAAATCATTTCTCAGCAAATTATTCATACTACATATCTTTGCTAAATCTCACATTTTCCACATTCTGCATCCTATCGTGATTTGATCGTTCCAGGGCAGCATCCGTAACCAGAGCATTTTTGTCAAGACTCTCCTCGAAAGTTGATGATTAAGATAGGAAAAACTGGTTATCTAACTATCTACTGAACTCACTTTTTCTTCAGTATCTTCCATATCATCAAAAACCATTACTTCGATCTCATTCTGCCTCTTTCTCTCTGCCAAAGGTGAAGAGCGAGAATTTTCGTCCAGATTCGACAGCGGCGTCAACCTATCAGATTGCAATGGCGCAGCGTCATGTGTAGTAGCTGAAGAAATAGTTCAGACGCAGCTCAACAAGATAATATCTGCTACCTGATCTCGCTCGAGAGCCTCGTCTACTTTTCGCTATTTCCTTGCCATTTGTGCGTTGTCGTTTCGTCACTGGACGCTCGAAGTCACCCAGATCAATGTCCGCAGCTTTGGAGACCATGCTCAGCTAAAACTTTGTTTCCAAAAGTGTACAGCAAAGAATCTGCTCACCAGATGCTTATTCCTTCTCATCAGAAGAGCTACGTCTGCTGCATTCACATTTTGGCGACCAGCATGGCTGAAAATGTACAAAGGCATACAAGTATATGGACAAACCAAAGTGGGAAAAAACCTTATATATAATAGGATTTATAAAAGAAGATAATTAATTGGATTCACACCTGGAGAACGCAAGAAGATCAGTAGTCCAGTCACCAGTGACGGTGTCCCATATTAGAGCGCTAACTTGGGCTATCACATCTGGATGGAACGAAATTTGCCCTATAAGTAACAGGAGACAGCATGTGAGTGGGTAACACACTTGAATCACTCTCCTAAAGGAAGTATCTCAGTTTAGATTTGAAAGGAAATTACCATAGAAGACTTAGAATAAACAAACAGGTTTTTAAAAACAAAACAAAAAAGAAGCCAGCAGCGGTACTGATGACAGAAAACTTACGAATCGACACTGCACTAACCTACATCATCCTCGCGAAGCCGGCGCACCACATCGTCAGCTGTTTTGAGCACAGAGACCTGTATAGATTTTTGAAGTTCCTGCAAATAAACGAAAACTGCGAGTTTGGCACGAAAAGTATACGAATCGATAAATAACCCAGTAGGTGCGTTTTCTAACGTCTTCTTCCATGAAACACGGTATTGCGCAAGAAATATACTTTATTGAGTCAACAATAACAAAAACAAAACAAAAGGAAGGCAGCACTACTAGTAAATGTTACTTGGCCGTGTTATCCAATAGGCAACGTTTGAGCGATATTAAATACGGTAATTCAGCATCTCTTTGTTCATCTTTAAGGATACACAAGTCGTCCATAATATAATCAAATTCAGGAATAAATTGGTATGTGAATCTACTATCATCTTCAATATACTCAAGAAACCGATCCAGACTGCCTTTTCTCTTTGGACTGCAAACATATACAAGACCAGTTTTGGTAAGATACCTATCAAATGTGTTTACCAAATCTTCATGATACTCTGCAAAAAATACACAATCTGCGGCTAGAATAAGGTCGAATTTCTTCTCATCTGGCCCAGCTCCCCATCTTAGAAGCTCGATTTCAACGTTTGGGAGCGGATTTCGCTTAGCGATATCTCGGAGAGACGCTACTGAATGTTCATTGCCGTCCGTAATTCTGACCCGTGTTGCGTAGATGGCAGCAATAAAACCCGGTAGTCCAATGAGACCTGCTCCTAGCTCCAGCACCAATTTACCCGACACCAGCGGCGGTCGGATTGACAAGTAGTAAGCGAGCGCCTCACCTCCCGGCCATATGCGCACGTTGCCGGTGTTGTCGAAGCCAGCGATGTGACGTAAGGACGTCCGATCTTCGGGCAGCGCTATGTCGATACAGAACGGTGAGTCACGCACACATAACGAGTACACATCGTCCTCGGCTTCTGAATCTGACGATGTCATCGAGAAGAGGCGCAACGTTGAGCGTAGACTTCGATCCGACTTCTTCGCACGGCGTGGCGGTCGCGTCGTTCGACGCATCTTTTCGGCAAGACAAGCCCAGTTGCCACGTGCTCGGCGACTCTAAAACTGCGCTGAACATCAGTAATTCGCTAGAGCACCCTCAATATCACAACTGAACGACTCTAACCGTTTGAGAATTGAACGTCATAAATTTTCTAATTTTAATAATGTTTGAGCAAAGCTTCAGCAGCGATTGCTTGTTTTTAATGATTGTATGCAGCAGCAAGCATGGGCAACTCAAGTAAACTCAAGAGCTGTTGAAACAAGACTAGGAAAGCTTCCAACAACCGATCGCGAACAAGAACTTGTTGGTGGCATAGTCACACAAAAACAAAGACAAAACTATGGCTTTTCAACAAAAAACTAAATCTGGTAAAACACTGACTCGCACACGGGAAACATTCATATTGCATATTCATGCTGCCGTAACTGGATATACACTAGCGAATTTCGTCAAATGAAAAATTTTCCATACATCAGCTTTTTCAGGTTTTGCACCGTCATCTACGATTGCACTACTACCCCCAAAGGCCGCATTGTCTCAATTCCAGATATTGAAGGGAATGATCACGTTGTCCCGAAAAAGTGTTTTGATGCGAAGAAGATGTTTTACAATTCACTATTTCCTACATCTTTTCTGTCAAAACAGATATTGTTCTTTTACAGAGCAAATACTTTACAACTTATCAGCACCATGTTGGAAACTGCAACAAAATGGATAAAAGCCCTAATAAGCATCTTACAACGTACTCCACAACGCAAAAAAATACCGCACGTAAGCAAAGATGTTTCTTCGGCTTTCCAACAAAGTTTCAGCAGAACTGAGCCATTGATCACATGCTTTCGATGTCATGAAGCAGACACGATGAAACTTCCTTGCGCTGATCTTATATGAAAAGCAGAAGCTTTTGGGATAACGTTCTGGATGCGTACTGCTCAACATATGCAATAAATTAAAGGCAGTGTCCACCCAAACGGTCGATTTTGAGATTTTGTGCTTACCCGGGCATATTCGC